TGTATACTTCAATGTAAACATGTGGCATGTGGTTTACCTCAGTGTAAACATGTGGCGTGTGTATACTTCAGAGTAAACATGTGGCGTGTGTATACTTTAGTGTAAACATATAGCGTGTGTATACTTCAGTGTAAACATGTGGAGTGTGTATACTTCAGTGTAAACATATAGCGTGTGTATACTTTAGTGTAAACATGTGGAGTGTGTATACTTCAGTGTAAACATGTGGAGTGTGTATACTTCAGTGTAAACATATAGCGTGTGTATACTTCAGTGTAAACATGTGGCGTGTGTATACTTCAGTGTAAACATTGCGTGTGTATACTTCAGTGTAAACATGTGGCGTGTGTATACTTTAGTGTAAACATGTGGCGTGTGTATACTTCAGTGTAAACATATAGCGTGTGTATACTTCAGTGTAAACATGTGCCGTGTGTATACTTTAGTGTAAACATGTGGCGTTTGTATACTTTAGTGTAAACATGTGGCGTGTGTATACTTCAGTGTAAACATATAGCGTGTGTATACTTCAGTCTAAACATGTGTCGTGTGTATACTTCAGTGTAAACATGTGGCGTGTGTATACTTCAGTAAATAAGTACGTTTCAGTAGCAAACACATCAAGTATTTGGAATGATTGTATTCATAGTCTCTTAGTTAGATGGCACGTTCAAGTTTCTAGGCCTGTTCCACATTGTAGGTCAATGTTTGTTACAGGGGACTGTGTTCAGAAATACAACTGTGTTGGTATGTCGCGTGTCTGAATCAATGAAGTAACCTTCCACCTGGGTCCACAGAATGTTGTTTATATTTTTCTGGACACTATCATCTTCGTTTAGACCACCTATGACCATGGCCAAACCTGTGTAGTTTTACAGACTATCGGAATCGTGCTTCAGCTGTGCCACCTATCGCCAGCTCTTGCTAAAGCAATTATTCACCTTAAAACTACAGGACATGTATGCATATTCTACGAAAATAGCTTTGATGTACCCCAAAACGTTCTCGGTCTATTATATTCTGAACACAGTGTGTTACTACACATACTTCGAATATTGTAGTGTCCGCAAATCGGCTTTTCACAACCTATACTATAGAGTTAGTAATGGCCACCAGATTGTCTACTGTATATCATTTTATATATGTGTGTACACACCCACACCCACAACCACACCCACATTCGTAACTCCCAACACATGCGTGTGTTTCTCAGATCTGTTGTCTGAGTCAACTCATTCATAACTCCCAACACATCTGTATGTTTGTCACATCAGTTGCCTGTGTTGGATGTCCTCTAGTGTGAAGAAGTACATTTCACTTGGAGAACAAACACGTTCGCGGACAAGATGAATACACTATCCTTCGAATATGTGCCCTCGTCAGTCACTATAATGACTCGGCTGGCTTACTGTTCACTTATTACAGCCCGGAAGTTAGTTTCTGACAAATCAATGGCAATTGTGGGAATAAACCAACAATCAGAATACTAGACTCTTCGTGAAAAGGCTTGATTGATTAACGAGAGAGTAATGACAATAACGAAGAGGCCAGGACAAAGGACATAATATAACACTTACTCGTATTTGAATACATTGCATTAACGAAAATCTATTTCTGAACCTAACAGAAACAATGGCCCTTTCTAGTATATGAGGACAACGTACAGCTACAATATTTCAGATGTCTTCTTATGAATGAAAATTAGATTTAGATTCGACACGATCATGCCATGGAATAGAAAAGATATTTCATTGGCTGTAATTAAAAGCCACAAAACACTTTAGGATCCAGGTTTGGTTGTTCACGTACAGGCTGGTGACACTTTCTGATCTAGGTTTGGTTGTCCACGTACCGGCTGGTGACACTTTTAATCCAGGCTTTGTCGTCCACGTACAGACTGGTGACACTTTCTGATCCAGGTTTGGTTGTCCACGTACAGACTGGTGACACTTTCTGATCCAGGTTTGGTTGTTCACGTACAGGCTGGTGACACTTTCTGATCTAGGTTTGGTTGTTCACGTACAGACTGGTGACACTTTCTGATCCAGGTTTGGTTGTCCACGTACATACTGGTGACACTTTCTGATCCAGGTTTGGTTGTCCACGTACAGACTGGTGACACTTTCTGATCTAGGTTTGGTTGTCTACGTACGATCTAGGTTTGGTTGTCCACGTACAGGCTGGTGACAGCTTCTGATCCAGGTTTGGTTGTCCACGTAGAGACTGGTGACACTTTCTGATCCAGGTTTGGTTGTTCACGTACATACTGGTGACACTTTCTGATCTAGGTTTGGTTGTTCACGTACAGACTGGTGACACTTTCTGATCCAGGTTTGGTTGTCCACGTACATACTGGTGACACTTTCTGATCCAGGTTTGGTTGTCCACGTACAGACTGGTGACACTTTCTGATCCAGGTTTGGTTGTCCACGTACATACTGGTGACACTTTCTGATCTAGGTTTGGTTGTCCACGTACAGGCTGGTGACAGCTTCTGATCCAGGTTTGGTTGTCCACGTAGAGACTGGTGACACTTTCCGATCTAGGTTTGGTTGTCCACGTACAAGCTGGTGACAGCTTCTGATCTAGGTTTGGTTGTCCACATACAGGCTGGTGACACTTTCTAATTTTGGCTTGGTTGTCCACGTACAGACTGGTGACACTTTCTGATCCAGGTTTGGTTGTTCACGTACAAGCTGGTGACACTTTCTGATCCAGGTTTGGTTGTTCACGTACAAGCTGGTGACACTTTCCGATCTAGGTTTGGTTGTCCACGTACAGGCTGGTGACACTTTCCGATCTAGGCTTGGTTGTCCACGTACAGACTGGTGACACTTTCCGATCTAGGTTTGGTTGTCCACGTACAAGCTGGTGACACTTTCTGATCCAGGTTTGGTTGTCCACGTACCGGCTGGTGACACTTTTAATCCAGGCTTTGTCGTCCACGTAGAGACTGGTGACACTTTCTGATCCAGGTTTGGTTGTTCACGTACAGGCTGGTGACACTTTCTGATCTAGGTTTGGTTGTTCACGTACAAGCTGGTGACAGCTTCTGATCTAGGTTTGGTTGTCCACGTAGAGACTGGTGACACTTTCCGATCTAGGTTTGGTTGTCCACGTACAAGCTGGTGACAGCTTCTGATCTAGGTTTGGTTGTCCACATACAGGCTGGTGACACTTTCTAATTTTGGCTTGGTTGTCCACGTACAGACTGGTGACACTTTCTGATCCAGGTTTGGTTGTTCACGTACAGGCTGGTGACACTTTCTGATCCAGGATTGGTTGTTCACGTACAAGCTGGTGACACTTTCCGATCTAGGTTTGGTTGTTCACGTACAGGCTGGTGACACTTTCCGATCTAGGTTTGGTTGTCCACGTACAGACTGGTGACACTTTCCGATCTAGGTTTGGTTGTTCACGTAGAGACTGGTGACACTTTCCGATCCAGGTCGTTCAGGTTTGGTTGTCCACGTACAGACTGGTGACACTTTCCGATCTAGGTTTGGTTGTCCACGTACAGACTGGTGACACTTTCCAATCTAGGCTTGGTTGTCCACGTACAGGCTGGTGACACTTTCTGATCCAGGTTTGGTTGTCCACGTACCGGCTGGTGACAGCTTCTGATCCCGGTTTGGTTGTCCACGTACAGGCTGGTGACACTTTCCGATCTAGGTTTGGTTGTCCACGTACAGACTGGTGACACTTTCCGATCTAGGTTTGGTTGTCCACGTACAGGCTGGTGACACTTTCTGATCCAGGTTTGGTTGTCCACGTACCGGCTGGTGACACTTTCTGATCTAGGTTGGGTTGTCCACGTACCGGCTGGTGACACTTTCTGATCTAGGTGGTTGTCCATAGATCTTTCCTTCATCTTTACTCATATTCCGAGGACTGCATGTGTACACATTAGTAGGGCAAATACCTTGGCCTCTGCTCATGAAGACGGTTGTTGAAAGACACAAATGATACCCTGTATATAAACGTCCAATTACTCTGGATGTCAATCACTTGAACAGAACGCATAGGACGTCACCTACAAGTCTGGCACGTGTAAATACCCGCATATATAAATTTCTTGTTGTTGCCCTCAGGAATAATCTATTATTGTCATGGGAATGTATACAATCTCAAATTTGACCAGACACCTGTGATGGAGACCATGCTCATCATTCTATGCAAATGAGATTCCAGGACAACCAATCAACCAAGACCGGTCACCGGCTCCAGCCAACAACCAGCGTTTCATCTAAATTCAGATTCATTCTAACTGGAATCCAAACTGGTTATGAAGAACACAAATATGTTTGAGTAATTAATAATCCACCACTTCTTATGCCAGTAACCCAGTCCCGCACCTCCCCAAATACTGGGTTGTGTTTATTTGCCGCCATTGTTCACGGTTACTTGGCAACGTCGCAGTTAAATGCTCTCTAATTATTGGTATCAACGTCATTAATAAATTCCCAACACTAACAAATTTGATGATAATTAATAGCATATGTACTTGAAGAAGAAACATGTAATGTGGACTGACAACTTCTTTAATGCCAACGTATAAAACTGGTTCTTCGTCATCACACAGGCTTTTAAATGCCACTTAAACAAGTCCTATCTACCCGTTGGTAGCGTTATGCATTCATTACCAAAGCTATACAAGCAATAATCAAGTGATTTGCGAAATTGCTGTATTGACGTCCACTCACAGTCAGACATAGCTCTGTCATCGTGGCCTAAATATGAGATTGTTTGTGGAAATCGTTCACGGTCCACACATCACAATAAACGTTTAACATAGACTGTGTCCGCAAGAGCATTAGCGGCCTAGGCGTGTCAATGGCGGCCATATTAATTCCGATGTTTACATTACTCGTGAGATTACAATTGGACCGACCATGAATTAATGTATTGTAGCCCATACCTAGGTTTTATACAAAAGGGGTAGCGAATGTAAACAGCATTGGCCGTCATTCAGTGTGACTCTCCCTGTGTGATAATAGTCCGAAAGGCCTACGTCAATTCCTCATGCACTGTCGATAATCTGTTGAAGTGAGATTCAATAGAAGACTGAAACACATTGACACATGAATAATGCTGCTTTTAAATATAGACTGTGTTAGATGTATGTGATTCCGAGAGGTATTTCAGAGGGCATGGGCCATCCGAGAAGTGACAGTAAGTATCTAACACCTAATCAGCTATACGTTTTTTTCTTATTATTCTTATCATTAGTGTTGTTGTTGTAATGTCATATAGGTATCATGAGATGTACTTTAAGAACAGAAACCGGACCTTCTACTCTGTGATATTCATAATAAAGCCACTTATGATATCAGACACTTATGATTCTATCGTTTCGTTTGCCAAAACAGATAATCCAAGTCTACCGGTCCACTGAGGGGTGACCTTTGGCTATGTGTTGACATCTAGATTAAACAGTCATGTGTAGGTTTTGTTGGTCGGCATAACCTTCTCATCGGATCATCTTAATTCAAGCAGAACGAGATTCTATAAACGATAGCATTGCATTGGAAACATTTAGTTAACTTACCCAAAAACACGTGTTTCTGTTTTTGCTCAGAACATCTTGTGATTATTTACCCATCGAATGTGGATACGAAATATTTGAGGATACGAAATGCGCTTTATATAATAGTCAGGACATTGTTGACGAATTTTATTTTATAATTAGATATAATTATTTTAATTCCTTTAGGCAGTTACATGATATAACACTTTTAACTATCCGTCAATGATCCCCGAGTTCTCAATGTAAACATCGTATTTTAAACCTTAAACTAGCCAAGTATTGTAAAATAAGACAAGGAACGTTCTAAGTAAATATTCCGGTCATTATATTAGGGTGTAAATCCTCAGCTTGATATGTACAGAGAGCCTTCAGAGTTCTGACTGCCCTACAAATGATAATATGCTTTCAGAAAATTCTCGAACGCTGAAAGCAGCCATAGCCATGTAACCATAAAGGGCACATTGATTCTAGATTCTAGAATGATTGTCTGTCTGGCCAGAATGTAGATATTTGTGACCGAGCCATACCTCTAAACCTAGTGGGTGTTGTTACAGGAACTTTATACAACGACCAGGTTGTCAACTGGTACCTTACCTATTTCGGGATTATTGTACTTATTTTTTCACCGTTTCCACGAAGGCTAATTGTCATTTTTGGAGGCAGTCTTGGGTGATCATACAAATTTTGAAGATAATTCGAGAGGAGGCGGGAGGTCAGTGCAAGGTTGTGAGGCAGGGATGATCTAGGAATCTTTGAGATGCATCATTCTGAATTCTCTTTAACTTCGCTATTTGTAAGATTTATGTAAAGAGAAGAGGACTAATAAGGTCTGGCACACAAGGCACTGTTGGAGTAGCCAGGAGATGATGAACTTTTGCTGACATTATGACTGCAAAGAAGACCCACTCTACTTATGAGTGAGATGTAAGTGTCCATAGTCATTGCTGAGTCAAAAGTGACTCCAATATTACGAGCGCTCGCAGTTAGAGAAACAGTAGTCTTGCCAATCCGAGGACAAACAGACCCAAGATTAAGTTTCCTTAATTGTTGCCTGGATCCGAGACAACAAAACTGTCTTCTCGTCGGGGACACCGCACTGAGCCCGCTGCTCTTGTTGAGGTTACTAGTGCAGTCAGCCATTGTTAGCAGGCAGACAATAGAGGAATTAGTTACAGTCTGTCGTGACAATGCTTTAGGAATTTATTACTATTTGAAAATTCAGAAATTTAATAATTCACAGGCCTACGAAATTACACACAACATCATTCAAACAAAGTCTTTCTGCCTGCCAGGAGATTTTTCGTTGTCCTCAAGGCGTCGATACTTCCTTCTCTTGGGTGGTAATCTTCCTCCTGAATTGATCTGTAGTAGAACAATTTCTGTGTGGCTCTGCTCCTTCTTCAACGTTTCCACAAACTTGAAAATGTTGGGATGGTTGGGCCTAGTCTGTCTCACAGTCCCTGAACCACATTATTTTCGCTACTGCCAAGCCTCTCTGCAGTGCTAAAGCCCTAAATAAAGCAAGTCTAGATTTCCTCAGGTTATCTCTGGTCTCCCTAGGGCTCCTTTTCAATTTAAATGGGCTAGTTTGTTACTATCAAAATTATATATATTCAGAGACTAAGCATTAGTCTAGGTTGGGCCTAACTTGTTGAGTTTGGAGTGCCAGCCTTCAAGACGGTTTTTTCGTCGTAGCCCCAGTCGCGTAGAAATGGTTCCAATTGCTTCTGTCGTCAGCTTCGATCCACTGGTCTGTCACATAGTCTGTACACTTTAGAATTCTGATGTCGTCAAGATCTGCTTCATCCAGGGTTTCCAGCCACCCATCGTGAATGTTGTGTTTGAGTTTGAGCAGTTTGGGGTAATTCAGACTCATCTAGTGATGTATGTCATCCATGCAATGCTTGGATGTTGATAGAGAGTTTTGCAGTTTTGAAGCAAATATACGGTTGATTTTCATCAGCATAGAGGTGAAAGTTTAAAGAATGTTTCTAACATCTGAAAGAAAGAGAATGTATAAAGCAAATATAAGTGGTCCGAGAACAGAACTCTGAGGAACACCATACGGACTTTTAAATGTGAAGGAAAGCTCAACTTTAACGTTATCGGGGATGGTACGAGCAGACAGGTAGGACTTGATCCATCAGAGATTTGTGCCAGGTATGACATCCTTTGAGTCTGTGTACCAATATGGTATTGTCAATAGTGAAAAAGCAGAGGGCAGATCCAGGATATCAAGTGAGTGAGTTTAGTTTTACGCCGCACTCAGCAGTATTCCAGCTATAGGGCAGCGGTCTGTAAATAATCGAGTCTGTACCAGACGATGCAGTGATCAAAGGCATGAGCAGCGATCTACGCAAATGGGAACCAATGATATGTGTCAACCAAGTCAGCGAGCCTGTCCACCCGATCCCGTTAGTCGCCTCCTACGACAAGGATGGGTTACTGAAGATCAATTTTACCTGGATCTTTAAGGATGACAAGATATCGAGAGTATCATGATATATCAATGGTTTTGACTTAAGAATTCTAAAGTGTGAATAAATGAAACAAAAATATGCATATATTTATGACTTATTTCTAAAGCAAAGTAACGAAGCCATAAAATACGTACGAAACCAATGTTTTACACTGTATGGTCTATAAAATGAGTGAGCGAGCTTTACGCTGCTTTTAGCAATATTCCAGCAATACAGCGGGGACACCAAAAATGAGCTTCACACATTGTACCCATGTGGGGCATTGCAATAAAATGAAAGCTGTAATATATTTGGTATATGTATAGTATGTTGTATATAATACATAATTGAGATTTCATTTCACAGTTTTAGTCATCTTATTTTATCATATTGCTCAGCCTGCCTTAAAATGTCACTCACAGCCAGTTCTTTAAGCATGTTTACTACGTGGGCACTGCTCAACACAGCAGCCTAAGCCCTCCCCCAACAAAGCCTTTTGTCTCTCTAACCCGGTCGGGCACTCACGATAAGCTGTGTACTGGACACCCGAGGTCTGTTGTCACTCTACCATCGGTCGTTAGAAGGAAAACATACCTGGTTCCTTGTTTCAAAAAGGGATTTTCTCTTTTAATATTCTTTGGATATAGCTTTGGATTGTATTCCGAGGTAAGCTTTTGTTTTGTATTGTATTGTATTTGACATTGTATCTATTCATTGTTCGTGAAATATAATTTGGATATAGCTTGGAGGTGGAGGTGTGCGGTCCTGTGCTTAGAGCTCAGATCACAAATCAGTTGAAGTTAAGCTACTTTGGGCACGGAGAGTTCTTAGATGGGTGACCGTGTTTGGCAGCTTGACTCCTGACAGTTTCTAGGACTTTTCTCCTGCCTCACAACGCAGCACATGTGATACATGTGGTCTCACCTTAGACAAGTGAGTTTGTTGAAAATTGCCTCTTTTCACCCAGCAGAAAATGGGTACCCGGTGGGATAAGGGTGTCGTTCCACGAGGCCTGAAATTATTCTATTAGGTAGGTACAATTCAGGGGATGTGTAGAACGTTCCATCACCATGTATGACATCGGCTTCGCAGAGATGTTCCAAGTTCATCCTTGTAGCAAAGATGAGAATTCGCTCCTCGGCCCCATGATCTGCGATGAGGAAGTCTTCTCCTGCACCTGTAGCTTTCCACTCTCCAGCTTTCCACTCTCCATCCAGCTGGATAGCCTGTCTTGTCTTGGGTAGATTGTGTGAATGGATCCTTTACAGCGTGGCACTGTACATGTCCAGTAGCAGATGTCATCTACCTGTCGGTTGACTTTAAACGTATGTCCTGCATAGTATGCAAATCTGCCGTCACGAGCATTGGGAAGGTATCTGACATTAATTTGTGCATTCGCCATAGCTATGTAGATATGGATATAGCTACAAACATACATACTTATAGCAAGTTTCGTCCTTCTCATGTTAGTTGGACAAGGAAACTGAATAATATCCACTTCATGTAAATACTCCTCCAGTAATAACAGATCTAATCTTATTAAGATTAACATAAGTGATTTCATCTATCCAACCTTAATGTTTTCACAGTAGACAAGTCTCATTACTAAACTAACCCTAACAGAGTGACCCCCGTGGTTATCTCTCAGTTGACAGACACCCATTTGACAGACACCCAATTGACAGACACTGAACTAGAAGGTTAATTAGGGTAACACCTACGGGTATAATGGAACAGTCCTCTTTCTAGTGAGTAGAGCAGGGTGAGACTTAAACAGATTCATTACTGAGAAGTTTGATTGTGGGTAAATAGAACTTTGTTGTGATTAAATGATAAATGATTTCTCTTCTAAAAATTGATTTTACTATCAATTACTATCGAATATAAAAACAGGTTTGTCACTGAGAGGTTTGATGGAGCTTATTGATAGAAAAGCCCCCTCCCAATAATAACATATGTACAACCGAAGTTGACTGAGAAAACGTTTTGTTGGAGAGATATAGATATGTACATATTTGAAAACATTCTGATTTGCAGTAAATGACCTCTCCCATTCTTGTTTCACGCCCCAATTACCTCATTAATTATGTCATGTGGGCAAACTGTAATTAGGCCTTGTGGGATTTATTATTTGTGAATTTTAGGCCTCGCGGACTGTAACCGAAATAAGTTATTAATAAGAGACT